TAAAGTAATGGAAATCTGGAAGTACATTATTTAAATTATACTTGGGTCGAATAGCCTAACGAAGGCCATTATATTATTATTAATCAATGTTATGATAAAGGTTGTAAAAAATAAAATACACAAAATAATATGTATTTCGGGCATAAAGCATATTTTATTGCTTTATAGTGAATAGTGATTAGACTCTTTTATTTGTTTGATATTTACATAACTAAATAGAATACCGGTTATTTGGTTCGGTTTTTAGTAATTTTAATGCTTAAATCTGTCTCACATTATGCAGAGAGTGTTTCTTTTTTACGCTAGGTCTGTTAAATAAATAATAATCATTGTACGATCTATATTTATCAAATGAACAAGTCTACATAAAAAAAAAAACAATAAACAGCTTAGAAATGATTTCGGTTCAATTTGTTAATATATTTTAGTAATTATTTCATAAATATATTTGAACTCTAAAATTGTATAAATAAACTGTAGGAAATTATTCATATTAAGCGATTGTGAGTTCAGTTGCAACATTGATTTCTAGTTACATTTAAGAAGGCGCTGCTTAATTGCACGTGTAGTGTCTGTCAATCAACTTATAACATTTTAAATTTATTTTCAACAGAACCATATTTGTGTTGTCAGCTTTTTTACTAGACTGAGTTTATCGAAATTTACAAAATTTTAAAATAAGAAATTACCTGTGTTTGTAAGGTAGGTTTTAAAGATATTTAAATTTTTTACTTTTTACTTTGGCAGCTTTTATACTCCCTAATAAAAAGCCCCACTACAAAAATAATACCCTAACCGTTTGGCCACAAACCTGCAGATTTATATAACGTTTATAAAATGGGTTTTAAAGGTTAGTTTTTTATTACTAGGAAGTTGTTGGTATATTTTTTTTTAATATCGTTCATTTGTTCGATTATACATGAGATGGCGTATAATCTTTTATTAATTATTGTTAAACAAGATTATATTATGTATATTGTAATACTCCAAACTCCTACACTTTATTTCAAAACCGTATATTGTGTGACACTTGACAAGGTAAATGGGTTTTTTTTTGTAGGTAGAATTTTTGTTAATACATTTATGCGCCTGAGTACTCAAAGAATATAATATATGTCTCATACAATTTCGGTGACTCGTGTCCGGTATCTCAAGACCAACAATGTGATTAACATGAATAAAAATTTAAAAAATATCTGCGCGCTTTATGAATAATATATATATATATATATATCGTAATTTATTGTATATATACAATGCGGCGGCCAGTGTGGAGTTTAGAACGGATATTATGAAAATTTAAACCGAAATTCGGGTAAATCGTATATGTAATGGGATAATGTTCAAGACCAAGTGGTCTTAATAGGTACCTTATACATTTTAAATATATAATATTATATTACTATTATACAGTCTGAAATACACCTACCTGCACGATGCATAATTTTATCGGGAGTACTCGCCAGCTGGGTACCTAATGGAGAAGAACGTATATACAGGGCGATCCTTTTATAACTATAGAAATGTAGTATTTTAACAGTAAATTTTTTTTTAAAATATTTATTTGAAGTCATTACAACACATTTTTTGCTATTTTTTTCATAGTTATAATTTTCAAAGATTTTTACTTTTCTTAATGACAACATATTATTATGTTTTTAATTGTATATTATTCCTGATCAAAATATTTTACTGTGATTGTCTATAGGTGTGTATAAAATCGAAGTAGTTAATTATAGTTATAGGTATCTGCAGCATTTACATTTTAGATGCGTGAGATTAAGACTGAATCAGATTTTTATGCGTCGAAATCCTCAGAAAAATATTCTACGCTTTACTACTTTAGTCACTTTAGATATAATAAATAAATAAATAAAAACCCCAATGATATAGGAACTAATAAATAATATGACCGTTTTCCAAAATCGTATGTTATAATATATATATATCAATGAAACATAAAACAATTATAATACGTGAAAACAAAAAACATTTGCTTAAACACGATGTAAATTTACATCAATAAACGACTACGTTACAGTGACTGGGAGAGATTCACCTTGTGTACATGGACTGTGAGAAAATTCAATGGGATTTATACTGAAAATACCTTTGTGGAGCTGTTGACCGTGCCCTAAACGCGTGTCGAGTTGTAGGAATGCCGGATTATGCGCCGGCGAATTCACTTGAACGCTCGTCGTTTACTTTTTACCATTTTTGAATCGGTCCCCTACGCGGCCATGACGAGTGGCTTTAACGATAATAAATAATAATAATACGTCGTCTTTATGTAAAATAGTAATGCGACTGTGGTTGTGGGTGGTTACCTCCGCGTAAAATACGCGTTGAATAATATTATTGTTGTTGTTCCGATCGCGGTGCAGTTTACCGGGAAACGCCGTCCTGTCGCCTGAAATACTCTGACATGTACCTAGGTATATGTTCACATTATATTTTTTATTATCGGGGATGGCCGCCCACGGTACCGGAACGCCGTTTCCTGTCCGAACGCGTCATTTTTTGTCTGCAACTGTTTTTTTTCTGTACATATTTTTTTATTTCGCACCATCCGTCGAATATTATGTCATTGTTATACAGGGTGTGCATAGTGTTTTTTTTTATCGCTAACGCATGCTTGCTTATTGACCGAAACTTTGGAACGTAGGTATACATGCGTACGGCCGCGGTGTAGATACTTACCTGTTTAAATATTTTATAGAATTCACTTTTAAAATAATACACAACTGTTTGAAATTAACTATAAATAGTCAGTATTTAACACATCTATGAAATTATTATAACGAAACTGCAACGAAAACAATAATTATTGTTGCTAGTTCATCAGTTCATGTAATCCAAACAATATTATTTATGTCTACCTATACATGTATTGTTATTTGGTCAATAAAGTAATAATTTTCTATTAATTATTCATCACTTGTTATAAAATACAATAGAACCTCGATAAGTCGAAATTCAAGGGAAATTACATTTATTTGACTTAACTAGGTATTTTACTTACTTAGGTTAGGCAAGGGAGTGGTATTTATTTCGACTTATCACTTATTATTTATTAAAGTTTTCGACTTATCGAGGTTCCACTATAATGTTATAATTAAATATACTATTTCTGATCATAAATAATTATTGCCGACAACCCATTTCGTGAAGTACGACTTTAATTCAGGACTTGCTTGGGTAGTATGAGCCCTTCGTAAACTATTTTTCTACTGGCCCATAATTTGCTATAGTGGCTCATATTGGTCAAATTTTAACATTAATAAATAATGATTTTATCACATTTTCTGTCCGTTATACAATTATATAGCTATTATAAAAACCGTATTGTGACATTGCGGTCATTTTCTCCTACCAAATGCTCGACTGGCTTATCCGGCCTTTTGATTTATATCATTACTTATTATTGAGGGTGTATAAAATGATTATTATTTTACTATGCCTATAACCTTTTGTTATAAACTTATAGGGATATTGTGTACATATACGACATTTGTGAATTTTATATACCTTTATATAGGAATATAAAAACAATACACGTACCGAAGTCATTCTGAATAACATTAGTGAGACTGGGATAGTAAGGAGTTGTCGTGCTTCCATGTATTTCACGCATTTGTAGGTCACAATGCGATTGATCACAAAGGTTTTCCTTGCATGTGCCGCATGTCGGGGCCGGTTCTTTAGCGAGGATGAAAGAATGCCCTATTCCGACTCATTTGATTATAATTAATATAATTATTATTTATTGAAACTATCATAATATGTCGATCGTTTAGCAGCCGGAAATTAAAGTGGTGCGACTAAAAACGATGAAGTGGACGACGACAACGTATACACTACGGTACGTAGTATATGATATACCGCTATAACGTGACCACAGGTTTTCGACACTCGTATAATGTTATTATGGTGGGTGGCATTGGTCAAAGGTGGGAACGAGAGCGACAGACGTAAAAACCGGTAGCTGACGTGAGACAATGCCATTGACAAAATATTACGTTGTACAATACAAGTCGGTCGGCGGTTAGGCGATTTTGGACAATTCGAAAGATTTACTGCGGCTCGTTTTTCATTCCCGACCACTACTCAATTATTGCATAACTGCCTATGAGCATAAACACTCTAATTAACGCGTCAACGACGGCGCCATTCGTTATAAACTCAATTGTGTAGAAATACGTGAAATGAACGTACCGTATAGGCACTGAAACTCGTTATAATACAAGTTTAACTTCTCTCTCCTATAGCGATTGTGCTTGCTTACCTATTTTAATTCGTGCCGAACTCAAAACTCCCCTGACTCGTGGTGGAAAATATGTGATAATAAACTATATAAATGTATCATAATACAACGTATAAATGCATCTGCAGGTACAATATTTGCAATGTTTATGGACATGCACGAAAATGTGCAATGTTCTTCAAACAAGCTGTGTAACTATATGATATTTAAAATTAAAATATTGAACAAACGAATAATTTATTTATATATAATATCATGTACAAACGACATTTACCTACTACAATATTGCCATGTAGGTAATCAAGAATTTTATGACTCTGGTAGATCGAGTCACTCACGCGTGGTCGTAAACTCGCTTATGAGCCATCATAGTAATAGTTATAGGTGTATACGTTTAGTTAATGATTATGACTGACAGAACCGTCTGGTTTTTGTGACTTTTTATGAGGTGTTAAGTAAATGTCATAATGATTTTCAAATGACAAAACCATATTATACGTAAAGGTACGGTTTCCAAGCTGCGACTAGTCGTTGCGACTGGCCGCAACGACTAGTCGCAACGATTACGTAATTGACTGCTCTATAAATAAATAAGGTATCGTGGTTTCCAATATGCGATCGACGTCAGCGTGTCAAAAATAGTCGTTGCGTTCAACGATCGTACTGCTCTGGAAGCAGTGTATTGCGTGCGCCGCATTGCGATTTTAATATTTTATTCTCAACGAATTTTCAAAAAATGTCGAAAACTCAATTCACTACAACTCAAGATGAGTTGTTAGTTGAAGAAGTCAGCAAAAACCGTGTGCTGTATGACAGTTCACACGAGAAACATAAAGATGTGAATTATAAGGATGCAATTTGGAACAATATTTCTACCGTTGTTGGGCAATGTAGTAAGTACAACATATTATATTATAATTTATAAGAATAAAAAAATTTATATTAACTTATATTTTTCTATTAATCAACCCTGAATCAAATACCTACAAAATTATATTTATATTATAAATACATAGGTACATATATTATATATATATATGTATGAATATAATATATAATATACTTATATATAAAGAGGTGCACATTTTAAAAGTGTATTTTAAAGCATAAATCTTTTTATACCTTTACATTCCTTTCCTCACGATTTATGAATATTACTTATTTACTACTAATACTTACCCATTAACACTTATGTATTATAGCTGAAGATTGCAAAAAACGTTGGCGGAATATACGCGATACTTATATGAGACATAAAAAAAAACTTGGAACTGGGTCGTCAGCATTGTCAAAAAAGAAATAGGCTTTGGCTGACAATTTAACATTCTTGAACACCGTAGAATACGAAAGAAAGTAAGTAACTTATGCCAAAAACAATACTTTAAATTGTTTACTCAAATTAACAACCATATTAGGTATACGTAGGAATGTTAACATTCGTTTATTATGTGTTGTACCTAGGTTTTATACTAGAACGCTACTTAATAAAAATTAAAAACTATTTATTTTTACTAGTGGCGTACGCAGGGGTAGGATTCTAGGGTTCTGACCGCCTGAAATTTATTTTTTCTACAAAAAAATCTTATTTACCACCATTTTGATACACACAGATCAATTTTTGGACATTTTTAATAGATATAAAATAAATTGTTGAATATGACAAATACGTCGATAATCATAGTTTTAGATTCTGAGTGGAACGATTTTACAAATAAAATTTTATTGATATTTATAGAAAAAAAAAATAAAAAAAAATTACCGACTGAAAACTTGCAAATTATTTTGAGTTAGAAATTCATAAAAAATTTTATTTTTAAGTCTAAGATTTGAAAATTTAATACAAGATTATTCACAAGTTTGTCTACCTTTATAAAAAACAGTGTCTAGAAGAAAGTTAAATAATAATAACAAATAATAACAATTAAATATATTAAATATTTCAGTACAACGACAAATGTTAATGCGAATGTTACAACAACAATTAATGATAACGCAAATGATAACGCAAATGATAATGCAAATGGTTCTTTAATGGATACCTTAAGTGAAGAAAGTAGTGAGTTATTTGAAGAAGACACTGAAAAATCCACTAAAGACCCAAATTCTAATGAACTTCAAAACCCAAACAAAAAATTTAAATCTAAGTACAACAAGATAGATTTTTCAAAACGTCAATTGGAAAGAGCCGTTATTATTCAAAATTTACAAAAACAAAATGAAACGATTTTAAATAAAGTGACAAACAATGACGAAACAGATTTATTTTTCCAAAGTATTGCGGCAATGGTGAAAAAACTACCTCCTAGAGGCATAAGCGAGGCAAGACTTCAAGTTCTAAAAACGGTGTCACAACTCGAAGACAAGTATTTAATTAATCCTCATGTACCTACCCCAGTGGCATTTTCAACTACCACTGTTTCTGGATATGATTACAACATAGCCCAGTCAAGTTCTACACCATCATGTCAAAGTTTGCCAACAAACTCGCAAGGATTTGTACCATTTGTATATGACAATAATTTTACAAATCAAAAATAATATATTTTTTTTTTTAATATTGTCTTATAAGATACATTTATTATATTATATAACAAAAATACAAGTATCCGTTTTAAGGTGATTCAATTTTTTTTCTATAAATATTTTAAGATTTTCTGTTGTATAAGTATAACAAAAGAACAAATGTTATTTTAAAAACCCAAAGTATAATTTTTAATCATTTTTTTTTTACATTTTTAATTGTTATGTTATGTTAAAATGATTTAAAGGAATTACACATATTGTTTATAACAAATTATTAAATATACAAGGTGAGTATTTAAAGCAGGTACTACACATTTTATGTTATTTGTCTTCCTGCCATGACACAGATCCTTCATTGTTAAAAAAATCCTTAAAAGAATCTCGAACTAAAAAACCTTCTGCATTTGTAAAACCACCACCTCTTGTTATTGGTATTAGGTTGTTTGTTTGTAGTGTTGTACTTGAATCACGTTCCTCAAAAAATGCTTGTCCATTCTCTTCTAAATATGCTTCTCGTAGTAAATTATGCAAACAACAAGCAACTACAATAAGATCATCACACGTCATTGGGTCAATGTTAATGGGCTGATAAAATACACGAAATACCTGGCTTAACAATCCAAATGCGTTTTCCGTCACCCTCCTAGCACGGCTCAATCTATAATTAAAAACTGCCTTTGATTTATCGTGTCTTGCAGATTGTCGAGTATATGGTTTCATAATATTAGGGTGTAGTCTAAAAGCTTCATCTCCTACTATAACGTGAGGTAATACTTTATCAGATCCAGGTAATTGTTTTTTATCTGGAAAACCAAATGATCCATCCAGTATCTGTTGACCCACAGCAGATTTTAAAAATATGCCACTGTCTCCTTCTCTGCCAAATGAACCAACATCAATAACAATAAATTTATAGTTGGCGTCGACCATCGCTAACATTACAATAGAGAAGTAATCTTTAAAATTAAAAAACAGCGATCCTGTTTTTTCTGGACATCTAATTCGAACGTGTTTTCCATCTATAGCTAGAACGCAATTTGGAAAATTCCATTTAGTCCAAAACTCTGATGCTTTTTTATTTAAGTCGATAGTTGATATATCGGGTAGAAAAATTGGCATAAGGTGTTTTTTCAACGTCGAAAGTGTATCTTTTACGATGACACTAATGTAACTATGTGAAATTCTGAACGCAAAAGAAAGTGACCGAAATGATTCCCCAGTAGCAAGATATCTGCAGAAAGTTACAATAAAAAATTAAAATTTGTCTTGTAGACATTTTTTTTGAAACGCCACTGATATATTTATTATAATTATGACATAATTCAGTTGGACTACCTATCAATTTTTTAACTTTTTTTTTAAAATGTGTTTTTGCATTATAAGAATGTAAAAAAAAGGTCGGACAAACTTTGTTTTGAAGTTATCTGTGAAGAACTTCAAAAAGTACCTACAGTTTTTTCGTTAGTTTACCCGTATTTTTTTTTTAAAAAATACTAAGAATTGAATATTTTTTTAAACGTGTGGTTTTTAACGGTCAATAGATTAGTAAAATCAAAATTTACCTATCATACTTAATTTTTAGATTAAATTTGAAAAGGTTATTTTTCAAGATTTACGTGCAAAAACTTCAAAATTATGTATGAAAGGTAAGTTTTGATTTTACCAAACTATTGATCGTTAAAAACCACACATTTAAAAAAAGGTGGGCAAGTGGATGTCGCTCTGCTGTACAGTAGGTTACAAGTAGGTCACTGTTTAATGGATGGTATTAAATTTGAATTCAATGATATAATATCATTGTATAAGAAAAACGATTCTGAGCGGAGACGGTAAGTCAGTCTAGGTTTAAAACATATTATATACATATCTATGGTATTAAAAAAAAATGACCTATCATAGGTACCTATAATAAATTCCAAATTAATCTTATCACAATATCCATTAAGTACTTATAACGCGTTATACATCAACAACAAACCGTGATACTATCATAGATATATAATAGTACAAATTACAAGTTTTAAGTGCCCAGTTTCAAGAAAAATTTTTACGAATTCTTAACTCAAAATAATTTGCTAATTTTCGTGATTTTTTCATATTTTCTCAATTTTTGAACTTTAAATGCTTATAAAAAAAAACTGTGACTAAGGATTTTTAATATTTTCATCTGCCTTTGTAACAATATAGTAGGAACCTTGTATTAAATTTTCAAGTATTTCTACTCAAAAAACAAAGTTTTATTGTTATTTTTAGAAAAAAAACTAAAAAAAAATGGAAAATGAAAATGTCCCTAAACAGTTCAAAATAAATCAAAATATTTTGAAAATGTTATCGTGTATAGAAAAGGCAAATATAAACAACCAGTCAAAATTTCATGTTTCTACATTTATTTGTTTTAAAGTTCCACCAAAAACCAAATTCGATTTTCTAAAAAAATCTAAAACAAATTGGAAAATATTCAATTCTAAGTAGGTATCTTTTCTTTTTTTAAATACGATTTTCGGAAACATAAATTTTGAAGTTTTTTAATGTTAACTTCCAAATGACCATCGTGTACCATCAAATTAACCATACAAAAACAAACATTTAAAAAATATATATTTAATAAAAATCGATAGGTAGTTAAACTACAATTGTGCCATAATTATTATTGATTAATAAAAAAATTACGTATTTACCTTAAAGTAACAGCTAATTTCTCATCGGGCGAAATCGGATTTTTTATTCTGTTTGATGCAGGTAATGTTAAATCGTCTTTTATTAATGCTAATATAAAATGAAACTGATCATAATTTAGCCGAAAAAATTCGCGAAATTTATTTTTATTTTCTCTTAAGTGGCTATTTATTAAAACTTTAAAGAAGCCTTCTTTTTCTCTTGTTTTAAATAAATTACTTATTGGCTTCCTGTATGCATTTGAAGTATACATTATTTCTTCTTCTTCCTCCTCTTCTAATAAATGTATGATTATTTTATTGTTATTTATAATTACTTGTTCCATCTTTAGTGATTTGTTACGACAAATTAAATAAATACGTGTGTGCACATTGAAATATTGAGCTAAACTGAAAATAAATGCCAGCCGCAGCATTCAGTCGTCTTGTAGGAAACCAGTACACACGCAACGATCAATCGTTCGGCAAAATCGTTGCGGCTGGCCGCAACGACTAGTCGCAGCTTGGAAACCGTACCTTAACGCGTGCCCTGACCTAGGATAAAATTAATTGTTTTCATCAAAATTTAGTATGTTGTAATACAACATGTACACTATTTTAATGTATGCATCGTTACAACTGTAAAACACATTTGATTAAAATTTAAGGCTTGTGAAACGCTGCGTGATCTGACAATCAACTACAGTGTAGGTACTGAAATAATATTACGAAGCGGGTCTTTTATAATACATTTTAAAAACTTTGAAATTATTTAGATTTAAGTAGGTACCAATAGAGTTTGTGAATTTAAATATTTAAATTGTGAAATCCATGTATGCGCAATGTCGTGCAGATGTAAACATTACTCACGTTTGAAATAATCACAAATTTCTACCAATACTTTTCAGGAAAAAAACCGTTCAATATACTATAATAGTTATTAGTTAACATTTATTGTTTTAAAAAAATTTACTTATACCGTCAGATTATCTCAAATTTTCATTATATTTGAATGGTGCCCGTTATCGAGGTTTATACATTATTATGTTTTAGCGTATTAAGTATTGTTTTTTATTTTTTAACATTCTGTAAAGTGTCTTCATTTAATTTTGATAGTATTTTAAAGGATTGTGAAAAAGCTGATAATAATTTATTATGACTTGTCCGTTAATAAAATTGGAGTTTTTACTGGTTCCGTACTGGAAAGTTTTTAACAATATCCAACACTTGATGGTAGTTCCGCTGTAAGATTTGAGACTATTTACTATAATATTTTGTCTATTGAACAGAATATGAACAAACATTATTGGATTATTGTATAACATAATATAGTAAACAGCATTAGGCCGCACATTATAATATTCACAATAACAAATCAAAATACATATTTGTATTGTTTTTATATCTAGTCGATCCATTCTTAAAAAAAGTTGTATAAGTACCTCAAGTAATAAAAAATATTTTTTTATTATAATCACCCTCGACAGCATGACCAATGGAAATTGCACATTTGTCATAAAAATTTTATATTTTTAATTTATATTCAATACTTATATACAATATACATAATAATAAATAATAATGTTAAATGTACAGTACCCATATAGCTTATTATATTAATAAATTACTTCATACAGTCCCGATGTCTGGAGCAAAGACACTAAGTTAAATGTTCCGGTCTGAGAGTTTCAAAATTTCAAACATGTCATCGGATATTTTATTTATGTTTTTTGATGTTTCTAGGTGTCACATTCGGTGAGTATGTGTTTGACAGAATGTTTGACACGACGTATGGTCATACATAGTTGAGGCTCCTCAAAAGGCATTAGGTATCTGTGGGTGAGTCTAGTATGACTTATTCTCAGTCTGTTTCTTAAGTTTCTTTTATTCTATGTGAATGATTGTTACAAAAGTAGTAGGTTTGATTTCATTTAATTCGTTTTTTTTTGTCAGATATGTAAGGTATAGGTTTTATTATTCATTTAATATCATGAATGGTGATAAACGAAATGTTGTCTAAGGTGTCTGTATTCTTGGCGTGGTGTATGTCTGTTTTATATTTTTATTGACTATGTTATTTTCAGTAAATTGATTTTAATAATATTGTTTATAATTCGTTTTGGTCTGAATAAAAAAAAGTTCAAATATTCACGGAACACCCAACCTATAATAGGTCATTCCAAAATGCAGGGTTCTGCAAATCTGTTGAATGTCGTACGAAAACAGATGTGTTGCGGGTCGGCATCCGAATAAGTATATAGACGACGAAGTAATGACGAAGTTCATCGGAACGAAATATGTCAGAAGTTTGCTATCGGTTGACGTCGTTTCAGCTGCATATTGCAACAGCGGTTTTTCCCTGCAGTCAGACGCGACGTGCACCCGCGTCGACCTATCCGTCTCCGTCGGGTGGTCAATGCGGTTACCTAACTGTCGAGTTGGCCACCCGACTCCGGTATACGTAGCCGGTAATTATACGTGGCCCGATAAATCGTTATATATTATTATCGTCATTACCTATACATTGTATTATTGTTTTGCGGTGGTCGTTGCTGTAATCCGGAGGCTGGAGCGATCCGTTGCGCAACGTGCCGGCGCACGCGACGGCCGTTACACGATGAGAAAAATATGACAATTGTAATACGATCGCGTAGGTAGGTTTATGGTGTCCTGCAGCCGGACGTCTCGCGCCCTACACGAGCGGAATCGGTCGCGCGAAAGAAAGCGGTCCACTCGGCCGGTATCACACGCGCGGGGCCGACAATCACGTAACTAGATCATGTTATTATCGTTATTATTATATTATGCTCTCGGACTCGATTTTTACGGTTTTTTTCTTTCTTTATTTATTTATTAAACCCGTAGTTGCCGCACGCCTCTTATGTGTGTATACCAGGTACCCGGTATATATATATAAATTATAAAGTGTGCAAACCGCTACGAGTCTTTATATACCCGACCCGTAATAACTCGACGTGATCTCTGCTTATGTCGAGAATCCCCTCCTCTCCCAACGCACTCGGTATAATCCCTCATTTGGGGCATAGCGAAGTCCGATGTATTTTGGCAATAATGTTGCATTATCATCGCACCCATTGATTGAGATATTATATTTTAACTGAAATTTGACAGACGGCTCACTACATTTGGTTTTAAATTCATGATTTATTAGTATGGCCAAAACTAACCAACTTAAGTGTCAACTCCTTGAAACAAGATTTTTTTGTCCACGTAAGAAATCGTCCATCACAATGATACATGACAATTATAAAAATAAATATTTACATATTGTGTAATTATATCAAGTACTTTATTACAACAATAATCAACCAACAAATTATTGCTGTGTTCTATAATTCAACACAAGTGTTTCGTAGTTGTGTTCATAGTACGTACGATACTTGCTGTACTTTTAACTTTTAAATATTTTAATTAATTTCGACTGTCTGTGATTGAATTAATTAAAAATTTTTGGCATAAATAAACTAATAACTACTTTGCTTATTATAATTTAAGAATTGTGACTTGCAGATACAACAATGATATAACTAAAAAAATTAATTATCTAAAAAGAAAAACTCCATTTGACAATTAATATTCATTAGAAAAATCTTTTTTACGGATACCCACGAAACACGACCCTGTATATGAACTCTGTGCACGATAATTATGTTTCACATATAAATAATATCGTAAGTTGGAACGACCGTCGTGTTCGAGCCATAATAATATGTCATATATTGTCATATTATACAATCTCGTCTCTTCTTGATACAGCACAAGTTATTTCTGTTTTGAAATCATTCGAATCGATTGGTCGTTATTTGTTACGTCGAATAAGTATATTAGTACATGTTACAATAAGTACATATTTCAACCGTATTTTCGCGTCTTTTGCGTCGGTGCTTTATTGCCTATTGGTTAAATAAAAGAGTAGACAATTTGTTATGAGATCAGTGTCACCCATGCTGTAGCCACACATTGATCGAATAGTAGGAGTTTATATATTATGTTGTAGAATTAATTATACTATATGTACCTACATATTATAATAGTATGAAGATATAAATAAAAATAATAATAGGAACAATGTGTAGAGGTAGGTAATATAATTGTATAATTTTATAATATCTAATCTATGTAAAACATTATCACCTTCAAAATATTCTTGTATTACAGACGTCATGGAATGAACCTTTTACTTTTTATAGTGATAGCGTTACTGCTTTAACAAAACCGGAACATATTATATTATATAGGTAGGTAGGTATATTATTTATTTATATGGATATTTTCCCGCTCAATTGTCTTACTTAAACTCGTTCGTAGCAATCGATATAATATAACACTTTATCATTACCGAAGTTTTTTTTATCCTGCACAATTTCTGGAGCGAAATATTATGCTCAGTAGGTACATATGAATATGATGATGTGAAATTACATCACCCCTCCTTAGAACTGTTTAGAGAATACCTTTCTCGTATATATATATATATATATATTGTATTAAATGGTTAAAAAAAGGTGATTATTACTTAAATATTTAACAGTAAGTATATGGTTGTGATCTCCACATTTTAAAACTAAAATATGTTAATTTGTTTTAATTTATGTCGTATGTTTTATATTTGTTTAAGAATTCAAATTCTGTATCTAGAGGGGGCTAGACGAATAATAGGGATATCTTTATTTTATTCCTAAATCCGATCCTGAGCGTGTCTAAACTGCAGTGTTGAAAGAGCACCGACATCCCCCCTCCCCCCCCGACCACCCTAACAAATTTAAAAAAAAAAACAGTATTGGAAAAAATTCGTGACGCTGTTTATCATAGGCGCAATTTCAACATAAAAACTGAGGGTGCTTAAGCTCTGCATTTCCTGGGTATTTAAATTAAATTATACCTATGAGGCACTTATGACTTTTTTGAGAAAAAAAGGTTTTATGATAATTTAACATTGAATAGTTATAGTGCATTAGGTACATTTTATAGAAATTAATACAATAGTAAATTTTAATTTATTAAAAATTTAAAACAAATTATTTATATTTTATTCAAAAAATATGACAAATAAATATTAGTGTACAAGGGGTGTAACAGACAGACTTGACAAAAAAAAAAAAATGAAGCTACTTAAATGTGTGACAAAAATTTTTAAAATTATAAAAAAACATTATAAATATTGATTAGAACAAAAGTTATTCCAAAAGTCAGTTATATCTGTACCTAGGGTTGCCACCTCTCCGGGTTTCACCCGGAGAATCCGGGTTTACGTACAAATCTACGGGCTCCGGGTTCAGTGAATTATTCTCCGGGTCGGAGATAAAGATAAGATAACATACGATTTTTTATTATTATGTCTTTTTTTTTTAATTAGTTTCCGGTATAAAAACCATTTATTCAAGATAACAAGAATAATAAGATTATGAACTACGGTTTATGATTTTATGAGTCTACGATTACGATTTTACGAATCTGTTTTAACATCACAGTCGAGTGTGTTTGATCGAATCCGAATATCTGCTTTTAATTTTTGTGTCAGTGTAACGTAACCGTGCATCGATATTAAAAAACTACACAGAATTTGAAAAGTAATTCATTAATTACCACATTTATGACTAAACGACCTTTTTTTTTTTTTTTTGCTTATGCTTATCGGCCTGTCTCCGGGGCTGCTTTCTTTCAAAGGTGGCAACCCTATCTGTACCTACTATATTATATAATTCGGCATACACAATCACACAGGCTGTCGGAAACTTGGAACTCCAGTGAACACCAACTGACAAGTAATTCGTATATCGTAATATTATGTTTTTGTCCGAATTAGATGTGGGCACGGGAATGTTTCTATTAGTAAATACTAAATACTCGCGATACTATAAATATTAAATTGTCGTAGAGCTGAGTCGCTGCTGAACGTGATAACACTGATAATAATATAACCGACGACAACGACCGGGCTTAGTAGAAACATTGGAAAATAATGATTTATATTCTAAATAGATTTTAATTCGATAAAATTACAATTGTCGAGTTCATTGTTTCATTCATTATACTCTGATACCCTCATGTCTGATGATAAACTGTTTTTGGTTTTTTTTTTGTTAAGAGAAGTTTTGATACATAAACACATATTTATTAGATGGTGCTAATTTTAAAATTGGGGGTGCTAATACCCCCTAAGCCCCCCCCCCTATTTGCGCCTATGCTGTTTATAAATGCCGCGAAAAACGTTCACCAACACTTGATAATAATATTGTAAAATACGTCGACGTCAGCGAAACTAATCTGGATGCTAGACGCGGCCTTGGTGTGTGCGGTTTGCAGTTGAAAACGCCGCGCCGCCCGCATCAAACAGGTCTCCGTCGGATTCTTTGGACGAAATTTATCGGCTTGACCGCCGCCGCCACGACGTCGAGTAAACGCGTGTCGCGGACACACAATATAATAATATATAATAATAATAATAATTATTATTATTATTATATATCAACTTTTTTCGTGTTGCGCAACGGTTTCGTTACAATTCCGTCGATCTCGCCGTTTTCTAATTGGATAATACGCGCAGCCGCCGCAGGCCACCCGTGCGGCGGTGTCACGTGCATTAATTATTTAATTACGAATAATATCGGCAACGCAACGTCAGCGCACGTTGCGAGCACCACTCGAGTCTTGGAAAGTTTTTATTATTATTATTATTATTATTTTTTTTTTGAAACCGTTTACCGCCTCGGACTGCGTCTCGCTCGCTAAAACGAAACACACACCGACGAAATAATAATATTAACATAACATAATATACTTCGGTAAATATACCGAAGTATATATACGTATATAGTATATAGTATATATAAGTATATATATAGTATTATACGCACCTGTTGCCGGCGTGGGAACTACGCACGATTTAGTTATTTTTCCATATGTTATGTTATATAATATAATACCCGCAGAGCTGGGCGTGAATGCGTGATATCGAACAAGCGCTTTTGGATACTTATTTTAGATATCGACACGAGTTAAGAAAAATAAAACGTGGTGCGCCTAGAACACTTCGACGTGCTGAGATTTTCGGATAATATCCTGCAGCTCCTCTTTCTCCTCGTCCTCCGGCTGTTGCTACCGCATTAACGTCTGCACGTCTTTCCTGACCCCCCCCCCATAGCTTGCTATCCTTCCGTCTCCTACGGGCACTGTTACTCCGATCACTCCTTCTCCTTCTACTCCAGGACACTTGGACACCCCGTCGTCCGTTGGCAATTCGTCGACGACGGTTTCCTCCTCGTCCTGACCCGCCTGCGGCGGGACCGCGGTTTACCGGTCGCATAATGAGCAACGGAATTAGTAATAGAAGAGTGAAGACTACAAACAATTCATTACCGATTTTTAGACGACTATATTATTATATTGAGAAGAGGTGGAGTGAATATGGTAAATACACCTATAACTGCGAGTATACCAATACAAGTTAATGAAGTAATTATTAGTCTATATTCTATACTTATACCGGCCCATTTTTCGATTTGAGATTAATTTAATTGACTGTGTAATCGATCATCACTTCAGTTATATGTAAAATGTTGACCTGTTACCCACATTTTTTTTTATTTCAAATATTTACTATACAATCTGTAAATATGTTTTTTTTAAATAAGTAAAAATTATGAACATATAGCTAAGGGTAGTAATTGAAATATATGGTCTGAAAGAAGAATCCATCCAGTGCGGTGGAATTTTCTATTCGGGAAATGTGTGCTCAATCAAGAGTTACAAAGTTGTAACACGTGAAATGATGTAAATTTAAACGTATTAGGTAATAATATATTATACACCTGTATGTACATATATATATATATATATATTTTAATTATAATTCTATTGTTAAGGATTTTTATTAACTTTTTCGCATATCAGCCTATTGTAGATACGATTTAAATAATCGAATTAGATTAATGTATTACTGTAGGATTATATGCACCTCGTCACCGCTAAGCTCGAGCCTTGAGGATTTCTAGGAAATGGTTTTATACTCATATATATATTTAAACGGTCGTGCATAATACATACACGTGCGCACGATAATTTATAGTGACATATGACTCCGCTTGACTTTCGTTTTGACATAACATTTGTATATGCGAACTGCAGACAGTTCATATATTGACACAATGTTACTCGATATCTTATGCGATAAAATTGCACTTGAAAATTTCACTTTGCTCGTACGAAACAGTTACCTACTGTAAACACGAATCGTATGGATACACCTAGTTAAAAACTGTATACTATCGGTGTACATATTATAATACACACTGTATGATATAGGTGTCGAGTGAGTGATGAATGATGAGTGTTTGACACTTGCAAACGTAAATCAGGCACAATCGTATTGAACTCTGTAAACCGTATAATGACGTCTAGTGCAATAATTCTTTCTTTTTTAAGTGCTTAAAAACTTTTCCACCGTCGGCGTAATATTATTGTGACGGTGTTATGTTAATACGCGTAAGTAGGTATGCGGTGGTAGGTACTTCTAATATCGTCGCTACTGCGCCTAGGTATACTGTGAATGAAACGTTCCAATTTATTTCAAATTATTATTAATGACTTGTAGAGAGAAAAATATTTCCGGTCCACTATCATAAATTACCAAAATATTTCATACTTGCCAAACCTAGCTTTAAAATAAGTGTAGGTATACTGACGTTTATGCTAACTGAAAGTTTTCCTGTTACCAGAATATAGACTTTAAATTATTCCGCGTACCGAACATATGAGTAGTTATACTGAAATGTTTTCTCGTGATCAGTAGGGCGTACATGCGATACATTTTTTTGTGGGAGGCCTCACAAATTTTAACCTACACAATATTAAATTAAAAAGTAATGAAAGTTAAATAAATTATTAAACTCGATACAGTTATTAGTTTTAATGGCCAAAACCTAATATTTATGATTATTGGACAGTACGCAATTTGTATATAATTTATAATAGTATGTACCTCTACATTACATTTTATATTTAAATAAAATATTAATGTTATTTATTATAATACAATACAGACATATTAATTACTTTATTAACTTCAATAGATACTGCCATGATTATTTATTATTATGGTATTTCTATGATTATGGTCCGGTTTTTCCATTTCAGTTTTAACTGGTAGACGGTAGTTAACAAATCATTAGATAATTTAAACGACCAGTTAATGTATCTGTTAACAGTGTGCGTTTTTTAAATTTTACGTTATAGTTTAGTTAGCTAATTGAATCAATATATTTTTAAAAATGAAATCTAAAGTAACGAATCGTTATGTTTACCTATTGGCTATGTTTAACAGTAACTAATTTCTTAATCAAAACCATTGAAAATTCTGTATTTATAAATTCTTATAAAAATGTAATTAATTTGTTTTAAATGATAGAAGTAAGATTAGACTAAAATATTTGACATCTTAAATTTCTGATTTAGAATCTAAGTTCCAACATTTACCTACATTTCCAAATTGGATTTATTCGTTGGTCTAAAATTAATAAATGTTATCTTGAATTCGTGCTGTAGTTTAGTTGGTAGGTACATTATTTAAAATTAATGTATTTTTCAAAACACTGAAAATGAATGTTCTAAGACGCGTAAAATTGTCTTTAAATAATCTCGAAATATGTTTGATGATTTAGTCTGTACAAATGTGAATAAATCGGTGCTATTTATATATTATTATAATTATAATTATTGTTATACATTTGTATAATTTCGTCACATACAGGACGTACTAAATATAGGTTAGGTTATACCTAAAGGCTAAAATATAATAACTGATTTCCGCGTTATGCATTAATTGTACGCAACAATCTTATAATATGTGTTGTTAAAAACGAATTAACACTCTGTGTATGATCTTGGGTATGTCACCTATAATGGTAATTTACAGAGCAATTTATAAAGGACACACGTCGAACACAAATATTCCATTGTAGGTAGGTATCTCGGAGGTATACTGCGGGGTGGTATGATTGGAACTCAAATCCGTTGATTAATCCCGCGATATTCGCCTGGCACTTAACAATCACGTTTCACAGTTGAATAATGGCTTATTTTTAATTTTTTAAATGTCAAACTTGATGGAAAAAAAACACAAGTATTTAAAGAACATACGAGTTTTTATTGTCACGTTTTACCGTACAATCACCACGCATTATAACAGGCTCAAGGTCACGGAGAGGGGCGGATTTCCTTATTATTAAAACCCACCGCCCTTTGTTGTATACGCATAATAATATATAAATATTATATATTGCTTCATAGTTGTTTTTATTGATTGTGCATAAAGACATATTACCGTGGTCCGTGAAGCGGGGTTCACTAACAATTATAATTAGTGGCACCTAGCAATTATAATGTGTGCAAGAGGAGAAAAAAAAAATTGATAATAGAAATGTAATATTATAACAATATCGACGATGTAAAAATGTTCAATTAACCCTACCGATGTCTCGAGTTCACCTATGTACAGATGTTAACCTATAAATATAATAATTATAAGTGAAACATATAATAATTCTATGTCATGATACATATATTCCATTTTTTATGTGTACCTGTAGTTATTTTAATGTTTATATGCAAATTGTGCATGTGGAAAATTATATCTCTGCGTATGAAATGTTATTAGTTATTGCCATTTCGGTTACAATACCGGTATAGTTATGATTTATCGGCTCACGATAACATTTATATTACGACAATATTATTAGCGCCATCACCGCGTTTCGTATGACGAAACTGTAATGGAAAAAAAACTTAGGTGTAAAATGATTACCTATAGACAATAACAACAATATTATTATCGTTGCAAGTCCAAAACGTAACTTCGAGACACAGTTCGAGTTTACCACAAGTCAGTTAGATAATATGCTGTTCTAGAAATATGCAGATTGCGCCAATAATAATGTACTATATATTTATAAATATGTATAAAGATAAGAGTTGTAAATAATATGTAGAAAAACGTAAACTAACATTATTGATAAATTAAATTAACCTTTATATTGTATTTATAAACATCGGTCGGTCGGTTTTCTCTCACCCCAATCATCCCCTCGGTCGAAATCAGTGTGAAAAGCCGATGGTTTTATACTTCATGAATGGATCTCGTGAACCCTCGACCAGAGATTCGCGTAGTCGAACGATTCGTATCGTTACCTGGACAATGGCGGTTTCTGTCATCATAATCCGGAAGTGGCTTACAAGAAGTAGCTTCAAGATTTTCAAGAATAAATTTATATTTGACTCGTATTGTATAGGACTCTTACCATACAATTTCAATACAAAAAATTGTAGCCCTTTTTTCAGCTAGTCTTGTAAACATTGATGATTAACTTCTCCCCCACTTACCCTCCCTTTAATATTCACATATTTAAAAATGACCTTGTATACTGTACGTATTGATTTATTTATATAAAATAAGAACTAATTAACCACAAGTGGTATAAACCATGAGAAAGCTAATTTAAAAACTGTGGATGCTAACACACCCAAGCTTCCTCCAAAATGTGCCCATGACTATGATGTCTCGAATTTTTCTTCTTGAAAATCTTAATAATTATTTTTTATGATCGTTGGTAAAAAGCACAAAGTACAAACTTGATAATTTTGGAAAGTCATTAATTATTTAGTTAATATTTTAGGACTTTAGTTTGTGCATATACTATACTTCGAAATTAACTTTGTTTGTCACTTAATTTGCCTCCTGTAAACCGTTTGAACATTTTTTTTTAAATTTAAACTATCATTCATATTTATAAATACTATCTATACATGAATGGGACTCGTCCAAACTCAGGAAAAAAATCTATCTAGTTATTTACAAAAACAATTTTTGCATGATAAAATATCAGATCAAACAAATAAAATGATTTAATATATTATTATTATAATCGAGTCGATTGTACCGTGTGTATCACGTTTTCGGACATTCTTTGTCCGGACGTTTATACCAGAGTAACAATTTTTTACTCGGATTATGTCTACTGGTTTCCCACGATCGCATATCTACACCTATACGCATTAGATGCATATACTGTGCAGGCGTGTGTGTTCGACGATTGTGGCGTTTTAATGGTATTAACGTTAATGGTATGACTCCACATATCACGTACGACCAAACAATAATAATAATAAAGACTGTTGAGCGTTTCAGTTATATCGGGTACTTCACCGAGCACGATCGCACCTTTTTTCAATAATTCAAAATCTGATTTTTGGAATTTTTAAATAATTACCATATATTCGTAAGTTCTTGAGATTTATTTACTACATAATATA